CGTTGGGCCGAGGACCTTGGACCACTTGCCAGCAGAGTTGGAGGACTGGTAACGTTTCCAGCAACTGCTAAGCATGGACCTGGGAAGCCACCGTTGTTGGATAGCCTGGTGCCACATTCCTACTTGTGTCCAACTTGTGGTGGGGTCCAACTTGTGGTCCTGGTTGAGAAGGAACTGGATCGTTCTGCTACGGCCCCTGGCAGGGTCGAATGCCGCATCTCCGATGATGGCTCTCAAAGAGGCCAGCTGGGTTGGGGCCATGCCAGTGACCCTGACGCCGTGCATCAGCATCATCAGCAGCATGAGCATCCTCAGCATCATCCTCATCAGCATCAGCAGGAGCATCATCAGCATCGTCAGCATCCATCATCATCATCATCATCATCATCATCATCATCATCATCATCATCATCATCATCACCATCATCATCATCATCATCATCATCATCATCATCATCATCATCATCATCATCATCATCATCATCATCACATCATCAGCATCATCATCATCATCATCATCAATCATCATCATCATCATCATCATCATCATCATCATCATCATCATCATCATCATCCATCATCATCATCATCATCATCATCATCATCATCATCATCGTCAGCATCAGCATGAGCATCATCAGCATCATCAGCAACATCATCGTCACCATCGTCAGCATCACCATCATCATCAGCATCCTCGTCCTCCTCCTCAGTATCCTCCTCCTCGTCGTCATCATCATCATCATCATCATCATCATCATCATCATCATCATAATCAGCATCATCAGCAGCAGCAGCAGCATCAACATCTGCAACATCAGCCTCATGCTTCTCTTCCCCCTACCCTCCTCCTCCTCCTCCTCCTCCTCCTCCTCCTCCTCCTCCTCCTCCTCCTCCTCCTTTGCTGCTCATCACCCTCCTCTTCCTCCTCCTTCTCCTCCTCCTCCTCCTACTCCTCCTCCTCCTCTCGTCCCCCTCCTCCTCCTCCTCCTCCTCCTCACTCATCATCATCATCCATCATCATCATCATCAACATCATCAGCAATCATCATCATCATCACAATCATCATCATCAGCATCATCACATCATCACCATCATCATCAGCATCATCATCACCATCATCATCATCATCATCATCATCAAACAATGCATCATCAATCATCCTCATCCTCATCCTCATCTCATCCTCATCCTCATCCTCAACCTCATCCTCCTTCCTCCTGCTCCTCCTCCTCCTCTTCATCCTCCTCCTCCACCTCTCGTCCTCCTCCTCCTCCTCCTCCTCCTCCTCCTCCTCCTCCCCCTCCCCCTCCCCCTCCCCCTCAGCCTCATCTTCAGCATCCTCCTCGTCAGCCTTGTCCTCTTCCCCGTGCTGCATCTCATCTCCTTACATCACTCCGCCTTGTCAAACCCCGAGGCGTGTCGGTACGCGGGCAGGGCGGTTCGCCTGAGACTTCCTCCCCACGTATGGCGCTTCAGCTGAGACTGTGCAAGAGCGTCACAGATGGAAGGCGGGCCATTTTCAAAATGTGGATCTCGCCTTAGCGCCGCGCGCATTCGTTTCAAAAAATTACGAGCTTCACGGAGGGAGGGAGGACCGTTTTCAAAATGTGGTTATCGCCTTAGCACCGCGCACATTCGATTTAACACATAGACGAACTTCACGGATGGAGGGCGCCTCCTTTTCAAAAGGTGGCTCGCCTTAGCGCCACGCACCACCGTTGAAGAGTTCACAACAGCCTAGGGCTTCCATCGCTAACGTCCAAAAACTAATGTTTTGGCACACTGTCGGACTGTCACGGCGAGCCAGGTGCGTCGATGCGCGGTGCTGGAACTCCCAAGAATGGCGTTCAGCGCGATTCAGGATCGTTACGACGAAACACAAACGGTGATTCGCGGAGTTGAAATCCCAGTGATGACGTTCTGGCACAGTTCAAAATGCTCCTTCGTGGAAATGCACCCTTGCAGAGGCCTATGAAGAGGGAAGTTGGAGGGGGGTCGGCCGTCTTCCGACGGGGCACTTCCCTTAGTGAAAATGAAACCTTTGCAGGGGACTGTGAAGAGGGAGCTTGGAAGGGGGGGTATTGCAAGGTCATGAATGGGCGTTGGGTTTATACTGGTCCTCCTCATCCTCCTCCTCCTCCCCCTCCTCCTCCTCCTCCTCCTCCTCCTCCTACTCCCCCCCTCCTCCTCCTCACAGGACGCGGCCCTGCCCCCCCACAGGGCCAGTCGGCCCTGGGCGTTGACCAAACTAAAGCCAGGCGACTCCTGGAGCGTTCTCTTCAGGAATCGCTAGCTGATGGGGGTAAGGGTAAGGTCCTCCTCCTCCTCCTCCTCCTCCTCCTCCTCCTCCTCCTCCTCCTCCTCCTCCTCCTCCCGTTGCCCGGCAGCCGTGCACAGCACCGCGGCAGAGACAACGGTTGGCAGCCGACGCTACTGCGCCCCTGGAGACTAGCACGGCAGAGAAGGCGGCCTGACGGGGCATGCCCCAGAGACGACTTCAGCCGCCTGCGGAAAGCCACGCAGCGACAGAAGGCGCCAGGAGATGTCAACGCGCATCCACACAGCCAGCAAAGGCGGAGCACGGGAGTGGCAAGCCCCATTCTCCTCCTCTTCCTCCTCCTCCTCATCCTCCTCCTCCTCCTCCAACTCATTCCCCTCCTCCTGCTCCTCGTCCTGCTCATCCTCCTCCTCGTCCTCCTCATCCTCCTCATCCTCCTCCTCAGCATCATCATCACCACCACCACCACCACCACCACCACCACCATCATCATCATCATCATCATCATCATCATCACCACCACCACCACCAACACCACCACCACACTCACCACCATCATCATCATCATCCATCACATCTTCATCATCATCATCACCATGCATCACCACCACCACCACCACCACCCCACCACCCTACCATCATCATCATCATCATCATCCATCATCACCACCAACCATCATCATCATCATCATCATCATCATCATCATCATCATCATCATCAGCTAATCAGCATCATCATCAATCCATCATCATCATCATCATCATCATCGTCATCAACAGCATCATCATCAATCATCATCATGCATCATCATCATCACCACCATCACCATTCATCATCACATCATCACATCAATCATCAAGCCATCATCATCATCATCAATCCATCATCATCATCATCATCATCTACATCATCATCAACAACATCATCATCATCATCAGCATCATCATCATCTTCATCATCATCATCAGCATCAGCATCATCATCATCTCAGCACAGCATCACATCATCATCATCATCATCATCATCATCATCATCATCATCATCATCATCATCATCATCATCATCATCATCATCATCATCATCATCATCATCATCATCATCATCATCATCATCATCAGCATCATCAACATCATCATCATCATCATCATCGCCACCATCACCATCACCATCACCATCACCATTACACTCAGCATCATCACCACCACCAGCATCATCAGAATCGCCATCCTAAGCCTCAGCATCACCACCACCCTCATCATCATCATCAGCATCAGCAGCAGCATCATCATCATCATCATCGGCAGCACCATCATAATCAGCATCGTAGTAATCATCATCATCATCAGCATCATCATCAGCATAACCATCATCATAATTTGCGTCCGCATCATCATAAGCAGCAGCATCATCATCGTCATCATCATCAGCACCATCATCACCCTCATCACCAACAGCACCATCAGCATCATCATCACCAGCATCATCGTCATCATCATCATCAACAGGTGCAGCAGCCACAGCAGCAACAGCAGCAGTATGCTCATCATCATTACCATCATAATAATCATCATCATCAGCAGCACCATCATCATTCCATCAGCACTATCAGCAGCATCACCATCGTCAGCAGCAGCATCATCGTCATCAGCAGCAGCATCATCAGCATCAGCAGCATCATCATCACCATCAACAACATGAGAATCACCATCATCCCCGTCAGCATCGCCACCAGCATCATCAGAATCGCCATCCCCATCATCAACATCACCACCACCCTCACCATCATCAGCAGCATCAGCATCATCGCCCTGATCCTCGTTGGCACCGTCACCATCAACGCCATCATCATCTGCAGCAGCATCATCATCATCCATGTCCACATCATCCATGCCGTCACCATCTTCCCACCATCCAAAGCCACCCACGTGCTCACAATCAGCATCGTCATCACCATCAGCATACTCACCAGAATCTTCACCATCCTCATCACCATCGTCGTCATCACCACAATCATCATCGCCACCATCCTCATCATCAAATCACCCTCACCACCACCACCATCATCATCATCATCATACTCATCAGCATCATCGTCATCATCTTCATAATCGTCATCATCACCATCGTCACTATCACCACCATGAGAATCATCATCAGCAGCTGAAGCAGCACAATCATTACCATCATCACCATCAGCAGCATCATCATAATCAGCACCATCACCATCATCATCATCATCATCATCATCATCAGCATCATCATCATCATCATTACCACCACCACCATCCTCATCATCATCATCAGCAGCATCAGCATCAGCATCATCATCATCAGCACCATCATCATCATCATCGTCATCATCATCATGGGCAGCAGCAGCATCATGAAAATCATCCCCATGACCATCATCCTCAATCGTCATCAGCATCCTCCTCCTCATCATCACCACCATCATTATCATCAGCAGCAGCATCAGCATCAGCATCAGCACCATCATCATGATCAGTATGGGTATCATGATCATCATAAGCAGCAGCAACAGCGACACCGTCATAGTCATCCTCATGTTCATCATCATCATCATCAGCAGCAGCAGCATCATGGTCATCAGCATCATCGTCACTTGCATCATCATCCTCATCATCATCATCATCATCATCATCATCATCATCACCATCATCATCATCCACGCCTTTGCCGCCCTGGACCGGCGCGGCCTGCTTGCTCTACCACGTAGACCATCCTGCCCTGCGGGAGGAAATACTTCTTCCGGGAGTTCAGGCTGCGGGGCGGGCCCCCAGGAGGATAGGACCCCATCTTCCTCATCCGCCACCTCCTCCCCCCCTCATCCATCTATCATGTCCCCCCCCCTCCTCCGAACGTGAACAAATCACACACACACACACGCACGAAGACACAGAAAAACACACACACACACACAAAGACACACACACACACGCACATACACACACAGCAAAACACACACACACACACATACACACACACACACACACACGAAGACACTGAAAACACACACACACACACACACACACGCACGCAAACACAGACACACATCCTGTGATCACCATGTCGGCCGTCCGCACAAGGTTCTGAAACGGTGTCGCAGCGTCGATAAGCCAGCGAGCTCCAGCCAGCCCACGGACTCTGCAGCGCACTCGCCGCCCACAGCAGCGCGCAGCTGCCGAGCGGCGACACGTCGGAGCGCGCCACGCTGAGCTCGGCGCCCCTTTGCCGCGTCAGCGCGCTGTAACTGGCGGCCTCCTCTGCCGCGGGGCCGTCCCCGAGGCCAAGCGTCTGGTCTGCCGCGAGCCAGCGCAGATGCCAGAACGTCGTCATCACGCGGCGGCGGCCTGTCTCCACTGCCAGCGGGAGCAGCGGCCAGGGCGCCCAGCGCGCGGGGTAGAGTCGGCCTCAGCGTCGGGGTTGACGGCCCCGTCGCCGTCCGCGGCCGCCGCCATGGCGCGCGCCGCTCCAGGGAGGCTGCAGCGGACTGTGACGTTCGCGTACAGCCGACAGCAGTCCCCCAGCTACGCCTCCAAGTCTGCGAGAGCTTCCTCCGGCTCCACGTGGAGTGCTGTTCAGCAGGTGCCACACGGCCCAGGTGGGGGGTTCTCCTCCGCATCCTCCGCATCATTATCCTCATAATCCTCACCATACTCATCATCATCATCATCATCATCATCATCATCATCATCATCATCATCATCATCATCATCATCATCATCATCATCATCAGCATCATCGTCATCGTCATCATCGTCATCATCATCATCATCATCATCATCATCATCATCATCATCATCATCATCATCATCATCGTCATCATCATCATCATCATCATCATCAGGAGCATCATCATCAGAAGCATCATCATCATCATCATAATCATCATCATCATCATCATCATCATCATCATCATCATCATCATCATCATCATCATCATCCCATGAGCACCAACAGCAGCATCACCATCGTCTGCAGCAGCATAATCGTCATCAGCAGCAGCATCGTCATCAGCAACAGCAGTACCATCATCACAATCAACAACATGAGAATCATCATCATCATCCCCATCAGCATCCCCACCAGCATCATCAGCAGCACCATCATCAGCATCATCATCGTCTTCATCATCATCAGCATCATCACTACCACCACAACCATCAACATAATTATCCTCAGCATCATCATAATCATGATCATGGTCAGCATCAAAATCATCAGCATCAGCATGATCATCATCCTCATCATCAGCATCAGCCTCGTCATCATCATCAGCAGCATCATCAGCATCATCAGCATCATCATCAGCATCAGCATCATCGTTAGCATAATCAGCATCATCATCAGCAGCATCAGCATCAGCATCAGCATCAACATCATCAGCATCATCAGCATCGTCATCATCATCGGCCTCATCAGCATCATAACCACCAAATAATCATCATCAGCATCAGCACCATCATCGTCATCGTCATCGGCGTTGTCATCATCAGCATAATCACCATCGTCGTTGTCACCAGTATTATCAGATTCCTCATCGGCAGCATCATCATCATCAGCAACAGCACCATCACCACCATCATCATCAGCAGCAACATATTCCTCTGATCCACACTATCATCATCGTGATCAGCATCATCACCATAATCATCCGCATCATCATCAGCATCATCATCAACGACAACATCATCATGATCATCATCAGCATCATCAGCATCATCAGCATCATCAGCATCATCAGCATGATCAGCATCACCATCATCATCACCATCATCTCAATCATCGCCATCGTCAGCGTCAACATCCTCAGCATCCTCGTGCTCCTCCTCCTCCTCCTCCACATCATCATCGTCATCATCGTCATCAGCATCAGCATCATCGTCAGAATCATAATCATGTTTGTCGTCATCATCATCATCATCATCATCATCATCATCATCATCATCATCATCATCATCGTCGTCATCAGCATCATCATCATCAACATCATTATCATCGTCATCGTCATCGTCAGCAGCAGCATCATCGTCGTCGTCATTGCAAGTGTCATCATCGTCATCACCGCCATCCTCGTCAGCAACAGCAGCAGCATCATCATCGGCGTCGTCATCACAATTATCCTCAACATCATCAACGACAACAGCATCGACGTCATCGTCGTCATCATCGTCATCGTCCTCGGCCTGGTCCTCCTCCTCTTCTTCCTCCTGCTCCTCCGACACCTCCTCCTCCTCCGACACCTGAAGGTTCGAGTCCGAGTTCGAGTTGTTTTGCGCGCTTGGAGCCTCTGGTGGCCTTCGGGGACTCCAGGGGACAGCCTGGGATCTCCAAGGACCATCTCCCGCCTCCTCCTCCTCCTCCTCCTCCTCATCATCATCCCTCATCCTCATCCTCTCCTCATCCTTCCTCCTCCCTCTTCCTCCTCCTCCTCCTCCTCCTCCTCCTCCTCCTCCTCCTCATATCCCTCCTCCTTCCCTCATCCTCATCCTCCCTCCCACCTCCTCCTCCCTCCGCCTCCCTCCTCCTTCATTCTCCGACCTGCAGGATGAAGACTGGCCGAGGGGCATCGGGTGCCAAGCAGGGCAGACTGAACAAGACGAGGAATACGGCGACGACGACGTCTTCGACGTAGTCGTTTCGCATGTGTTTGGGCGTGTCGGGAGTTCTCGTCGCCGCGGCCAGACGCAGCTCGAAAAAAAGCGAGGATGCACCCGGTCATGGCCGCGGAGAGCTCTGGTAAGCGAACTGCCACATTGCACACGTCAGCCACGAAGGAGAACACGCGCAGGTCACAATGGTGGAGCCTGACTGGTTGACAAGTTAGCTGGAGTGGAACGATCGACCGCAGCACAGGCCCCAACAGCACAATCAGTGGCACGGATAATTGAGCCTAGCAGCGAGAAGCGTCTCAAGCACAACGGGCGCATGCAGGCTTACAGGCTCGATGCGACATGCAAAACGTACGGCTTGACCAAACGCATCCATCGAATCTTGCAGCCTCGAGCTGATATGCCGTCTCATGCATGCCGCATTAGCTACGTCATGATGAGCAACACGAGGAGCGTGCAAAGCGGAAACCATGAGAGAGTGGTTACACAAACGCCCGGATGCCTATGAGTCTCTCTGACGATGGTGAAGTACTGGGTTGTATACCAGCCATGAGCGCTACCAGTCGGCATGGGAGTCTCCCCACCACGGTCAGAACAACGAGGAGGGGGAGGAGGGAGGATAAGCAACCACATGTGATCCCTACCAGTGCAGGTTCGATGTCTGGCAGTCCGGCGGGGACTCAGAAGTCCCACCAGCCCTCTGGGAGTAGGTGGTTTGACGAGTTATTTCCTCTTCCAAAACCCGCTCCCTTCGGAGA